AATTTAGAAAATAAAATATTTGTAATTTTAATTGCAGGAAGACCTACAAAAGAAGCTTGAAGAAGCTGGTGATACATTAGTTGTAATTGACTTCTATGCTACATGGTGTGGTCCCTGTCAATTGTTTAAACCTCAATATGAGGCCATGGCAGAGGTTAGATCATTTACCTTACATAAAAAATTCCTTTGAAATATTAATTAATCTTAAAAGTTGATGTAAATATATGTGAAGAGATTGCTAATGAATATAAAATCAATGTTATGCCTACCATTATTTTCATTAGACATGGTAAAGAGGTATGTATTGTTTTAAGTTAATGTCCAATTTAAGTGAAAAGTGATAATGTGTAAAGAACTCGTTATTAAAAGCATCTATTTTGTATTTCAGCTGGAAAGATTTTTTGGTGCCAGTAATGAGAAACTTAAAGCTGCTCTTGAAAAGCTCACGTCATAATTTTAATAATAAAAATTATCAACAGAGGTAACTAGCAAATGCCTCATGTTAATTGAAAATGAACTTGTGTTTTACTTGCAAAGGAAATGTAAGGAGATATGAAACTTTTTGTTAATACATTGACAGTTTTATTATACATATTTTATTGTAAAATAAAAATGTAATCAGCTTACAAAAAATGTGCATACAACATCATTATTTTTGTTTTATGATACAATAATGTAAGAAAGATTATCAAAGTTCATCATAAAAAATTAAATTTATTCATACAATTACAAGGAACTAGTAGATTATTTTCAATTTAGAATCATCAGTGATATTTAATATTTATATAATTATGCTCCTAAAGATAAAGTTGTTTCTGGTTGCTTTTGCATTTTTACTAACAATGAGCATGCTCCAGTACCAGTTTTGCAAGGTTGACCTAACATCAATCGGCTTGAAGGAGATACCAAGTTATCACGTTTTCCTGAAAGTAAAAAAACATAGGTGCTTCGTTCTTATACTTAATTTTTCAAGGCTTAAATAATTCTGTATCTTTTTTACCTTGTAAAGTTGCATTTTTTAAGAAAGTAAGAGAACTTTCAAAGCTCATCTGTTGTAATGGAGAAGCTGCATCTTCCATTCCTTTACGACTAAGAGGTTGAAATGTACCATTAAAAGTCATATAATCCGCGATTAAAGACAGATGTCGAAGGTCAATTGTAATGCCATACATCTTGAACACATCCCTCACTTCTTTTATAATAATCCTATTTGCAGCTTCAATGCCATATGTTTGAGACATACCATAAACGTCATTGGAGTACAATTTATTCAAATTTAAAGATTTATCATATCTGAACATTTGCTATAATATAGAAAAACAAATATGTCAATAATAAGATACAAAATTGTTGTCGATATAAAATTTTTACTTACTATTATGTTAATACCATCAGTTTTAAGAACAGTTTCTCCATCATTATTTTGAAATGTAAAAGCACGTTTTATACGAGGTACCTGCCACAAAACAATTCTATTCGCAACTTTTCTAATTATTGTTGGTAAGTCTAACTTAATCATTTTAAGAGGTAACTGCAAAATAAAAAGTATAAGTACATATAAAATAAAATTTTGAAAATTATAACTCGTAAATCCAATTAAATTTAAGAAATATGATTCACTTATATATCTTCAAATATAATATAAAGAAAAAAGATAATAGAAATATCAAAGAAACCAAATTTTTCTTACTTTTTTTCTAAAAATTTACTTACCCAAAATGATAATTTACACCATGCGAATTTCTCCTCGTCATAATCATATTCTAATGCATACATGTACATACTTATAATATTTTGCTTTCGTTGGGTATGATATCTTTTACTTGGAACAAATTCTGAATTTTCATTTGCTATATCGTCATCTTCTTCTTGTTGCTGATCTTTTGTTTTTGATTTGTCATTTTCATTTTCTGCATCGTCTTCCGTTTCACTTGTGTCTTCCATTTCATCTTCCTCTGGATCTTCATATTCTTGATTTTCTCTATGACGAGCAATTGATCGTATCAAAGTAGCATCTGCGTCTTCCGCAGCATCTTCTTCATCCGAAGACTCGTGCATTTCTCCTAAGTTTGTTCGCGACCTTAACTCAGATTCTATTCCTTCATCAGGATCGCCATGATCTAATAAAACATCATCGTCATTTGTAGATTTCTTTTCCTCTTCAACATATAATAAAGTACCTGTAGCAAACTTTTTAATTTCTTTAAATATTTCCTTGAAAAATACTTCTTCTGTTTTCTTCAATACCTCATGTGGCTGAATGCAAAACTCTCCTTTATAAGATTTATATGGAAGATAATTAACAGTAATAGTATGTACTAATTGTCTATGTGGCAATTGTTCCATTTTTCTATTTATAGTAATGTTGTCCAAAACATTTGATAAAACACATTTTGTTAATTTTAATCTTAATTTGTTTGAGCGTTTTGTCACATTTTTTAATTTTGTTCGGAATGGTATTTCCATACTAGGTGTTTTAATATTTTTCGATGCCATCATAAGTATTTCACGTAATCTAGGTATACCCAAAGTGACGTTCATTTCTCCGCGACCAGCAAAGTGGAAAGTATTTAATGTCATTTGTGTTGATGGCTCTCCTACTGACTGCGCAGCTAATAAACCTACTGGTTCACCAGGTGGACAAACAGTTTTCATTACTTTCACAGACAACAGGTCTCTTAAATCTTTTTTTTTTACCGCAACATTTCTGGATTTACTAGACATGTATTCATCCATTAAATTTTCTAATCGTTCAGAAAGTACGCCAAAGTCTATATCTTGTCTATATTGCGACATTACTGGGTCAGGACATTTTTCACACTCATCATAAGCCCACTTTTTATCTTCCTCCGCGGTTCTTAACCACTTTCTCATAAATGAAAGTGCAGCCTTATTTCGTCCACTCCTTTCATCAATTTCCTTGAATTTTGAACTTTTAATATTCATATTCTCCATAGAATACCGTGTAAATGGATGAAGTTTCCTCTTCTGTAATACACTTCCATTTTTACTTTCCCATTTCTTAATTTTTTTCGTCAATTTTAGAATTCTTTCTGTATCCGAATCTTCTTTTAAACACTTTACCATTTTTTTATCGACAATAGCATTCTTGTTATCTACTAAGAAACTTAACTGTTCTTTCTTTAAAAATCGTGAGGCTGGTACATCAAGTCCATCCTCTCCATAATAAAACTGAATTAAACTACCATCTGAATCTCTTACTGTTGAATCGTAATTAATAACTAATCCTTCAAGATGCTTGATAAGACATCTTTGTAAATATCCTGACCTACTAGTTTTTACAGCAGTATCAATAAGACCCTCCCGTCCAGCCATACAGTGAAAGAAAAATTCTTGAGGTTTAATTCCTGTCATAAATCTACCATCAATAAAACCACCAGCTCTTGGTGTTGGATCGTAGGGAGGGAAGCTTGGGAGACTTTTTCCACTGATCATTAAAGGTGGTCTTTTTCCTTCTAATTCAATTTGTCCAAGTAAACAAGATATCTGCATAGTATTTACAGTAGAACCTTTAGCACCAGATTGAACCATTAGTTGTAAATTATTATCTGGAAATTTTTTTAACAGACCAGCTGGCAAACATACTTTATTTATATCGTTAGTGTAGATATCTAAGGCGCTTTTGTATTTTCGATCAACGAGTCCGCGAAATTTCGGATTACTCCAATAAGACTCTTCCATTTTAGATGCAACTATATCCATAGGTGTATCATCAGGTAATTCTAGTATTGACTTCTGGATATCTTCTCCAATCTTTCTACAGTTGGAAATAATTTCTTTACGTTTTTTATCTGCTTTTTTCAACAGTAAAATATCTTCAATACCAAGTGTGAATCCATTTCTTTGTAAAGCAGCTTGAAACAATTTACCTAAAGCGCTTAATAATTTTGTAGAGCATGTTCCACCATACAATTCGAAAACACAATGTATAAGACCAAATGGAGTTGCACCATAATGTGTTTTATCAAGTACACCACATAACAATTCTCCATTTCGTATTATAACTTCAGCTTCTGACATCGTCGTAGGATTTGAGAATTCGGTGCCACATTTCCAACGACGTGCTTTTTCAACTTGCCATTCTTTTACATTAATCTTAGCACTTGCTGTTAAATTAATGCGCGCTTGATTTGGTGGAGTAATATTAATAATCACAGTGGATATGATTTGTTTACCAGACCACAAAGGTTTTGGTTTTAAAATGCTAGGTGGAAGAAGAATTATATTATCTTGCATTGTAGACAAAGCAGCATAAACTAATTGCATATAGTCTTCTTGTGCAAAAAATGTTCCTTTTACAGTTAAACGCACACCAGAAACCATGTGATCTTGAATAAGACCACTTAGCGGTGTACCATCTTTGGGTACGAGATATTGATTAGATACATTGGCTATGTTGTATCCCTCACTTCTCGCAAGTTCATTTTGAGGATAATGTGCGTTCATTTCATCACCATCGAAGTCGGCGTTATAAGCTTTGCAATTAGCGTAATGAAGACGTAATGTTTTCTCTCCTTTTAAAATACGTGCTTTATGAGCCATTATACTGGGCTTATGTAAAGTTGGTTGACGATTTAACAATAAGATATCTCCATTTTGTAAATGTCTATGTACAACTTTGATACCCTTAAAAAATTTGTTTGCTTTGTCACTTGTTGTTAACAGACGTTTTGCAATAGCTTCTCTTTGGACAGGATCATTAGTAGAAATGCGTTGTATACCTCCATCTTCATGTTCAATCATTACTGCACCAGGATGAACATCAGGACCATTTAAAACTAGCTGCCGTAATTGTACAACATTCCAAGGTGTGACAGGTGTTGGGTATGTTAATTTCAATGCAAAGGCTTCAGGAATACCAATTTCATCTAAATTCAAATTAGGATCTGGTGTAATAACTGAACGAGCGGCAAAATTAACTCTTTTGCCCATCATGTGCATCCTAATAACTCCTTCTTTTTTTTCTATAACTTGTTTCAACCCTTGACAATTTGCAGACTCAGATGTTTTATTCATGTCACGATCCATTAAATGATCCACATTTACTTGTAAACTTTGCCAAGCATTATGTAATTTTTCAATAGCTGTGTTACCTTTTATTTGTTCAAAAACAAGCTTACCCTCTTCTGGTAACTGATTTGTATCACCATCTTGAATTGTTTGAATGATATTTCGCAATACTAAACAATCTTGTATAATGCTCTTGTAAACTTGAGACTGTGGATGCTCTATCATTTGACCATTAACAAAATTAACAGGTCTAACTATAGGTGGTAGAACTGGTATTACTTCAAAAAAGAATATATCAGTTGGATATTCAATATCTACCATTCCAAAGCATGGTATGATTACTTTAAGAATCTCTTTCTCATTTTGCCAAAGATTTCTGAGATATTTTTTGGTTTGATCTGGCATTATCATAACTGTATCTAATTTGTGAATCACTTTCTGTGAATCTGCCTTTTCTTCACTTAGTTCAGATACTTTAGTTGTCAAAATTTTATTTTTTAATGTCATAATTTTTGGTATTGCGTTTTCACAATGTACACAAACTTTCGGTGTTGTATACTGTTTAAGAACATTTTCAACATATGTGTGCCATTGTGTATTCATATTTTTTGTGTTCAATTGAACTTCATTATATTGCACAAGTGGATGTTCAAGTCTTGCTCTATTGAGAAGATTTTCAGTGTAATTATCAATAACATTTTGAACAGATTGTATATCAACTTCATAATGATTACGTGTACAGGAAACAACAAGCATAACTTCGTGTTCTAAACCTTCCACATCACTGAAATATCCTTTTCGAAGTAATTCCATTTTTGCAGATAATAACAACTTTACAAAAGGTGGAATTTGTAAAGTAAAGCAATTTAAGCATGTTAATTTAATCAATGTACATAATCCTTTATGAAATAATGGATTTACAACAGGCATAGGTAACTCTATATGCCCAAAGTGACCTGGACATTTGTAAACATTACATCCACATGTGCTACATGGATCTGAACTTTCTATAAGAGGACCTAAATCAGTGAAACAAATATATAATAGCAAATTATTTCTTTATCCTTTTCATACATATAAAAATATACATAGTTGTGCAATTAGTAACTTATACAATAATTTGTGTTGTTCTTTTTGTTTTATTTATTTACCTAATGCTGGGTCATATAAACCTCCTTTCAATGGATGTCCCAATATATTAAATGATAGAGGCGTCCTTATTTTAGTAACACTTAAATTTCTTATATCATTTGCAGTAAACATAGAAAACATTAAACATTTTGGGTCTAAATGTTTTGGAGTTAAACGTGGAGCTTGATAATTATTTTGTACCATTTTGATAAATATTATTGCATAAATAGTTTTGTATTAATTTCCACGTTCTCGTATTCTTAAACAAACAAATGGATTATTTTAAAATCTTCTGTACAAAATTTATAAACAACAACGCACTGTTTACTATACCTCTAGTGCTACAGTTTCTCTTAGGGAAACAATGTATGTAACTTTAACGAGTCAAGTGTTCTTCATAAATTGTATTGATAATAAACATTTTAGAAAAAAACTTTTGTAACTATTATAAATTGTTTAGGTTATGAAACTTCTATCACATGGTGTATCATAGACGAGATACAGAATAGACTTATCAGCCAATCCAGTTTTTTGTTCACGTTGCAGGGGCTCTAGAGACTTTTTACCATTTTGATGTCGTTTTCAACGTTACCGAATCAGCATAGAAATAATTGACTTTTCAATATATAATTGCATTTCTTCTATTTCCTGATATTGAAACCTTTTCTTGATTCATATAAATTCATATAACAAGAACATTAATTTTTCAATTTTCAATAAAAGTTACAAACAATTTCTAATTAATCTACTGTATGCAATTGTTAATTGAACGCGAAATTAATAAATTAAACTGTTTTACATACTTTCAATAATAAACTGCCATCTAAATTATTATTATTTAATTATTCTTCAGTTAAAGTTTTTAAAAAGGAGCCATATTATTTATTTTACTATCTACATTATTAGTAATGATAAATCAATTAAAGATTGATTATAAGTATCAATTAAATATAATAGGAATGATAAGGATAGCAATAGTCAAGAGAGAGATAAGGAAATAAATAGCAGTAGGTAAGGATAGCACTATAGATACAAGTTAGACAAAGAAAGAAATAGGGGTAGACAAGGATAGTACTAGAGAAACGTGTTAGACAAGAAAAGGAATATGGTTAGACAAGGATAGAGAATTTTCAGGTCGAAACTAACGCCATCTCGTGTTTGGCTTCACGAACTAACAACTCGTTACTAGGAACACAGAATATAAACAGAGGTATCAGACAAGGAACACACTAGTGTGCGAGAAGGATAGAGAGAAACGTTTCCTATTGGCTGGCGGACCGCCATGCTCCGCCTTGCAGACGCTGAATCAAGTCGGCTGGTGAAAAATCATTAATAACTCAATAATTATGACGATTCTATGAACTTTTAGTATTAAAGAATGAAGTGTGGATCTTCAGCAACTTTCATATATAATTTTTATGGCTCTAAGTCCTTTCAGTAATTAGTTATTAATATTTGTTGCGCGGGATGTCAGAAAAGATACGACAGTCCCTTACGCAACATCAAGTCGGCCAGGGAAAAATCGTTAATAACTCAATAATTATGATGATTCTATGAGCTTTTAGATTTAAAGCATGAAGTGCGGACCTTCAGCAATTTTGTCATATAGATTTTAATGCACTAGACCCTCTTAATAATTAGTTATTTTGCTACTTGTGAATCACGATTCAATCACGTTCATTCTCAATCACGGTGATTTTTCATGATCGTTTCTGATTGGTGGAAAACATAATAACAGTTCTTCTTTGTTATCATTTATTCTAATCTATATGTTACATAACATATACATATGTTGTACAATTATAATAAATCATTCTTTTATAATGTCTTTTTTTGACTGACTTTTAAAAACACTAGTAATAATCTAATTCATTTTCAAGTCATATTGAACATGTTTTTTTTTTAAAGATCGAGAATTACGATCACAGTGAGCAAATTCACTCAAGATAAAAAAGTCATGATCATGGTCGTGATAAATTACTATCAGTGATTTGACAGGCCATCTCTAATTGTAACACGTGTGTTTGGTCGACTCTCGACGAATTGAAAATCGATAGCTACATCGATGTTTACAACTATCGCTAAAGCATATTGCTGTTGGATATTCGCCATAGTGTAATCCAATTTGCAAAAGCACATTCTGTTGACGTTCATTGGAACGTCAGTGAAGTAATAAATACGAAGTGAAATTTAATTTATTTTGGTTATTACAATATATTGCAAACAAAATTTTTGAAGAATTCAACTTTCAAACATCATTATTGTTATATACGACGTACACAATCGTGGTATATAATAAAACGTTTATTAATATACTATGTTTACTACAATAGCTACTTCGGTAGTATTTGATATTCGGACAATAATGTAATTTTGTAAACGTATAAAATATTATCGTATTGAGTAAGAATACAAGGAGAATTATAAATAAAGTACACTTTTTTAATTTTATTACAAAAATGTTGACGCCAAGGTTTGAAATAACTCAAACTGACACAGAAGTTTCAATAATTATTCATGCACCATATGCTAATATTAATGACACAGAAGTTTATGTTGATGGAACAGACTTCAGATTTTATTCTACACCATATTATTTAAGGTAGAGTATTAATATTAACTAATTACATGCACTTTTTGTAATGAAATCTTTTTATTTTAGGTTAAAGCTTCCAGGTGAAATAGAAGAAAATGATTCATCCTTTGGATCTTATGATTGTGAAAAAGGAGATTTCTTTTTAAGGTTTTCAAAAGCAATCAAAGGAGAATATTTTGAAAATTTAGATATGATAAGCACAGTGTTAGCTGCACCAAAAAAGAAGAGTACAATTGTTCCTAATATTGAAGTAATTGGCAATCCATCAGCTAATTCTGAAGATATTAATGACATATCAAACGAGCATGAATTTGCAGCAGATGATGAAAATACTAATGGGGATGAATGGTATATGCAACAAAACAATCTTGCAGAAACTATACCACTTTTGCCTTCTTCTCCCAAATATGGTTTTGCAAATAAAATATCTGGAGCTTTAGCAGCATTTGAGGTATATGCTCAAAAATATTATCATTATACAACATCTTCATGTAAGAATTAATGGTTGCACTTCAAACATTACAAATATGATATATAAATTGTGTATTTAATTTTAGTCAGCATGGATTAAGGAAATAATAGATCTTCCAAAGCCAGATGTAACACCTCAATCTGAAAGAAGAGGTTTACGGGAAAAACATGAAGTTTCTGATTTTAATGAGGAGCATTACTTAGCAGATCTTATGCAGCTAGAATGTATAGAACCATACATCTTATTCAATGCTGAATGGGATACTTTAAAAAAGGAAAATGTTTCTTTCAATGAAACTGAAGTAGATCTTTTAAAAGAACTTCCAAACAAAGAATATTTATTAAACAATGGAGAAACACATAAGTTACTTTTAAGTTTAGTTGATATTTTATTTGGTAGCTGCTATAATCACAGAACAACAATGGGAGAAAATACTGTTGAAAGCAGTTGGACTGTAAATAAATTAAGTTCTACTCTATCTTGGTTTGATGTATGTAAAATATTTACAAAAGATGTCAGCATTATTTTCCTTTGTATAATTTTATACATTGATAACAATATTTTTAGGATTTTTCTGATGCAGAAGAAGTTATAAAGGCATGCTTTAGAAGATCAATATGTTATCCACTTTGCAGAAATTGGAATCTCTCTAAGAAAGTTTTGGAAGATGTAAAAAAGGTTATTAAGTTAGGTAAGTAAAAAAAAAGAAACGTTTGTGAATCATTTGCCTGTCTTTTTATACTTAGTATGTTCTTTTTATTAAATTGTTCTATTGTTAGGTAAAAAATACATTATAAAACGTTTCTGTGAGATACATAGTCTTTTCAATGATTCATGTGAACCACGATATATATTAAATCAATTATATATAAAAGATTATCTAATTTGGTTACAACAAATTAATGAATCATTAATAGAATCATTGGATTCTCTCATTGATAATGTAAGTATCTAATTTTTAAAGAGTGACTTTTTATAAATCATTATCATATATATATATATTCCTTTTAAGATTCAACCTTTAAAAGAAGATATGCACCTTGATCTGTTAGAGTTAGAGCAAGCAGCTTATTCTGTACAAGAGGAAGATCTTATTATAGAAAATTCTATTCATGAAATGGTGGATCAAATAGATGCATTGTCAGTTAATGATAATAATAAAAACAAGTAAGTATAAGATGTAAAATGTATTATAACATCCATAAAATTTAAAGCTTCATTAAAAATCATTGTATGTCTTTACATTGTATAATTGTATGTTAAAGGCCAAAGACTATATACCACATTAAAGATGGACATACATTAAAGTATTTGTAAGTAGTGTTCCATTTTTAATAGAATTGTTTTCAATATTGATAACTTTATTACTTTGTAAAAGCTTACTTCTTTATCCTTGAATGAATGAAATAAATATTTGTACATGTGTATCTTTATCTGAGATATGTTGAATGTAATAGACTATCTAAAATGCACTTCCCTTTGATGAATCACATAAATATTGAATTGTAAATTTATCATCAATGACATGTAGCAGTAATTAATTATATCTGCACATTACAAAATGGATGAAGTGGACAGTAAAAAAAATGTTGGATTTGTTTCTTTTTATAATGTTCATGTACAAATTATGTTTGACATAGGTTATCGTGCAGCTCGAGTTCAAGTGACAGCAGTGATACTGATTCTGAGACTGATACTGAAAGTAGCACTTCCGAGACTGATTCAGAAAGTAGTACCACAACAACAAGCAATAGTAATAGCTTAGATTCCGACGATGTGAGCGATCCAGAAGAAATCACAAATAAATGCATTTAACCATTAATTGTTACATGAGGCACTCGATACTTTAATAACACTACATTGGTAACGATCTACTACAAAAATCTTTGTAAAGGTAACATTTTTGAAAGTTTTTTTTAGTTACTTATAATGTATATATAAAACCTTACAACTCTACCTTATGTGTTCATACAAATATTTATATATGTACACAACACGTGAAACTGTTTATAAAATTTAAAGAGACATATAAATAAGATTTTCTTTTTTCTGGCTATTTTACAGTGTCTGACAGTGCAATTAAGCCGTGTAGACATGTACAGTGTATACATTGCTTCCACAGTAGCATTCGTGTTTTGAATAAATGTAATTGATTTGTTAAAGAATATAGTAAATCCATCGTAATAGTTTACTGTAATGGTCGATTAATCTCTGTTGCGCGAACTCGTCCAATTCGTCGTTACTTTTAATGTTCGTATCCGAATCGATTGTATCAATATCGCTTGGATGTAATACACTGCCTTCGCCGTCGAAAGCATCATTAACACTACTTTCTGTATCTTCTACCTGCGATATTTGAAAAACATCTGTCAATTGTAACTGAAAAAATGTTAATATCAAAGAAAATTATTCGTTACAGATCGTTACCGTAGCGTAATCATAATCCGGAAATCCTGTATCTTCTTTCTTATTATCTAACTCTTCCTCGTCTGCAGTGCGCCAATAATCGGAAATTTCTCCATATAATCCTGGATTCTCGTTTACACTGTGCATGTATTTAGCCAGCTTTTTGTCTTCCAATATCGTTGAATCTGATTTTTCTAATACTACTGGCTTATCGTTTTTAGCATGTTAAAAAGAATTAGTACATCGTGCCGCTAGAAAATGATATGTTACATTTATCATGAATATGTTACCTCTTCGTCAGAAGTTGTATCCCTGCTGTGGAAATGATCGTGATAATCAGGACTTCCGGTTTTTAGAACTAGATGCGTGTATTTTTTCAACGTTCCATCTCCCTTATGTAAATGCGGAGCGTACAATATTATACGTAATGGCATACTCTCGTTGTTTTGAACTTGTAATTCCTTGCGTTCGACATTAACATTTACTGTTATGTATGTGCAAAATAAAGATTTGTCAGAAAGAGAACATTAATTATTTATACTCCTACACTTTTATCGATTGTATCAGAGAAATGTTCGAAAGTTTTATATGTGAAATTAAAAGAAAAATAGAACTGATAAAAAATAAAATTACCTTCTTCATCCACGAAGCTAACATTCGATTCACTTTGACCATTTTCCTCGTTCGTTCTTAAATCAACATTTGAAGCGTTAATCTTAAGGAACGAATTCTCGTTACTCGTGGTTATCTCTTCATTCGAAGAAACATGATCTTTCGTTTCCCCCGTCCCGTTAGAAACTTCAGTTGTTTCCGTGTCCGATATCGTAGTTAATATTTGAGTTTCTTCCCGTTCCAATGGAACTTCCGAAGTTATTTCGATATTCTCATCGGTAAAAAAAGTACTGTCTTTTACATCTTTCTTTACATCTTCTGTCGTTTCTGCCTGCACAATTGACGCGTCAGTTGTGATGTCATAAACATCGTTGTTTTCGTAAGTATCTACTTCGATAGGAACGACGGTGCTCGTACTATTTTCATTTTCCATTCCTTTCGATTTATCCGAAGTTACAGTTACGGTCTCTGAATCGGTAAATGTATCTTCTGTAGGTAAATGAAAATTTTCATCTACCGTTTCCTCCCCTGAATTTCTACCTTTCGAAACGTACTTTTCATAATCCTCCGACACGCCTACCGTTGTCGTGTCCGACTCTTCCTGTTCGTTATACGAATAGATTGAAAATTTTGATAATAGCAATTTTATCATATTTCGTCTCGTTGTTAAATTATTTCGTAAAAATAGCGAGAAAATTAATAGAAAAAACCGTGCTTACATCGCAAGGACCGCACGGATCTTCTTTATACGTGGAGAGAATTGCCGCTTTCACGTAAGGGAAGTATAGTATACTCCAAGGCACTATAACTTGATATGTTAATTTGCCGCAGCTATGACAACGACGTTTTGTATTCCGTTAGAAGTATGAAAGAAATAAAATGCAATTATACATTTTGACAAAAATATAAACCTGCGTTTTTTTTTCTTTTTTAAAAATTACATCGATATGTATTTAAAAAATAACATTTCTTCGCCTTGGTAAATTTAAATTGTATTATATGTGGTTTTTATTTTCATGTTAAAAAAATCTATACGTTGATATGTGAATTAAAAAAATTGTACCAAATAAAAAGAAATTCTATCGTGTTCGCAAAATTAATTGTGATGGGTTAAAAAATTTTGAAACACTGCTCACCGATCAACGACCACCACTTCGTCCTTCGAGGCGTGAAAACTCTCCCAGATTCTTAATTCTGGACTGTCCCGTAAAAAGATCACGCTTTCCTTCTTTCTTGTAAATTCATTTAGCAAGATCCCTTCCGTGGCCAAATAATACTCAGACTTCTGCCTGTTTCTCGATATTTCCCTCCACGCTTTCACCTCCACGTTGTTCTCCATGTTGTCCTCCGAAATGTCTGACAATGGCGTCACCACGAAGAACAAGATGTTCGTGAAGCCCGATTTCTCAAATTTTTTCTGCAGCATCTCCAACCTTCGGTTCGGCAATTTCCCAAAGAACATTGTACGATTTATGACGATACATCCGCGATTTATTCTATTTGTACAACTTAATTGTAATCTTTCGCTTATGTAGATAATAAGAGAAAAGTTGCTCGTGTATCTTCCCAAATAATATAAATTTATCACGTTTCATTACACGGCATTTTTTATTTTCGTAATTTTAATTTTCAAAATAATAATATAACGAATTTAAAATAATTTTGTAATGAATTTGATTATTTCATTCCTATATTATAAAGAATTTAAGTAAATTGTACGAGGTTGTTTTGCTTACGAATAGGAGAATTTCCTTCTCAAATCTACTATCAGATAGCGCATAATTAACTTATTGTAATAAGTACAGTAATTTCAAACTCGAAGCTAAACCAAATTCGTGAATTATTTTATCGTTAAACAGCAGATTGTGTACGAAACTTAACCTAAAGTTCAAGATCAAATTTCAATCGTCACACTTCACTCGGACAAAAATTTATTTTACCTAAAAATAAATTGTCCAATTTATTCATTTTCTTTTTTTAAAGAAATCTCTAATATAATTTAGGTCATACTTCGATTAATAAATACATTTCAACAGAAACCACAGAGGTTGAAATTTTCATTCAACACGTCGGTCGTTTCGTCTACAAAAACCCTAATAAAAAAACGCTCGAGTAAAATCACGCAACTTTTTCCCGTATTATCTCCAAAATAACCAACTTTTTTCGTATTATTTTCCAAAAAAAAAAACCAACAAAGAGATACGAGTATCGTTTCATCGACTTACATGATCGCCTGTCTATAGCTATAGTACCAGGAAGGATCTAAAAACGCGAACACGTTCACGTGTCCCAATTGTTCCTTCCAAAGATTCGTGTCACGGCATTGCTCGGCGGCGTACCCTCGACTCGCTCGAGATTCCTTCGACCAGCGAAAGTGACGGGAAAAATCGGCGAGACGCGAAACTCTGTCCTTTTCGTAAGTTTCGTAATCGCCCGCTGTTACCGTCATCGTGATCGTCATAATCGACAGTATCGTGATTAAAATTGACATGATTCCTTCTCACTGTGTCGACGAATAAAGAAGAAGAAATCGTTCGAATCTTATCGAACGCTAAAAATAGTAATGAAATGGTCCAACGTACACGGAAGTAGCAAAATTTCGATGAAAGAAGAAATCGTTCGAATCTTTTATCGAACGCTAAAAATAGTAATGAAATGGTCCAACGTACACGGAAGTAGCAAAATTTCGATGATTGTCTCGTATACGACGCACGACGAGAAATTTTGACAATTATCTCGTATAGGACACACGGTTAGAAATTTCGCGATAAAGTGAACGAGACGTAACGTGAGAAGATTTTGGTAACCGGTTTAAACGAGATCTCGAAGTATGTTGCATCGATTCGTTACGCGAGATGACGATGTATTATCTACGCGTAGGAGCACCGATAAAACCGCGGTGTAAAAAGCAAGAACAATGAAATAATGTATGACGAAGGCACCGACCACAACTCTAAAATCCATCGGCGACGGTTAAATGTGTGCGCGTGTGTGGCCGTTTTCTCGCGATAATATTCCCCGCCGGCAGAAAAATCAATTTACGCCGCATTGATACGATATGTATGCGGGTCACACAGAAACTGTAAGCGTTTTTCTAACCTCACATGCTGCTGCCCCGCGAACCATACCACTTTTTCCTTACACGTGACATTAACATGACACCCTTCTTCCTCGAACGCTATCATAGAGGACACGTTGAATACGACAGGCCTGTGTAACACACGTTGCCCAGGGGAAACGTCACTACGTTCCATGCTGTAACATTATGTATAATATCTTATCTCTGCCGCGGAGACACTATTCGTTTCTGCTTCGAATTTTTCATTCGGCTCGCTGTTTACTTTTCGTTCGGATTCTTTTTTCTATTTCGTTCGGAGTGTTCGAACAAGTGATTACAAACTATTGGGAAGAAATGAGAGATAAGGAAAAGAACAAGTTTATTTTCCACGAAAATAAACAAAGTGGTTATTTATAATTCATTTTTTGATTTGTCGGTAAAACAGGTAAATGTCGTTCTTCGATTTTTTACGTTCTCTTTTGTTGTACTTTTAGATTTGTCGGGTGAAATTTTTCTGATTACAAACTACAGGAGGAAATGTCCAATATACGAGAACATTTATTTTTACGAAAAGTTGATTAATATTATCGAATGACTTTCATAGGGTAAAACAGAAAATAAATGCGAAGAGAAAGTCGTTTGTAATTCATTTTTAGTTTTTGGTAAAATAGGTAAATGTCGTTCTTCAATTTTAACTCTCTTATTGTACTTACAATTTGTCGTTGGGTAAATTTTTTCTGATTATAAACTGTAGGAGAAAATTTATTTTCAGGAAAAATTGATGAATTTTATTAAACGACTTTAATAAAATAAACGTAAGAAAAAAACAAACATAAAGTGGTCGTTTATTATTCGTTTTTATTTCTGTCGAAATTGGTAGAAAGGTTCTTAAATTTTAGTTACCCACATTTGCCGGGTAATATTTTTCAAGTCACGTCGAATTATCCAAAGAGTTAGACCGATCAGCGTTGAAGAATCGTAAAGTAAAAGAGAATTCGCGACGTTCCTTTTACCGAATCTTTTCCCCATTCGCTTCCTATTTCCCAGTGCTTTGGATTAACGAACAAACACCAGTTCAATTGAATTTGTTAACAAATCGGACATCCGTCGAGATCAGTCGATGAGCATGAACACGTGTGCACAGTATAAATGGAACAGAGAGTCCCTTGTTCTCAACTTTTCAAAGCTCGTAACACCACTCTTCGATGCTCGTTTACGCTATCCTCCTCGAAGCAGTAGCAGTTCGCCTCAAAGTATCGCCGGTCGATCTTTCGATATATTATCGTAAACAGTGTTTTTTACCTTCGAATTTATCAAAGTAACCATTTGAAAATTACAAATTTTCCAATATAATCGCAATATTCGTTTATCTTCCACACCGCAAAATTTTCCCACTTAATTGATATATCTGGTAGATCAAGAAGAAGAAAAGAAAAACAAGGTAGATTTCCAACGACATGTGCAAACGGCGACGAAAAAGAATTTACAAAAAAAATCGCAACTAAGTTCAAAAGTAAACGTGTCAATTTTCTGTGAGTGTAGAAAAGTTCAGAGAAAATTCTGTTTCTCTCTCTCTCTTTTCGAGACGTGTCTTGAGATCCGTATATCGACCGACGATAAAATCACCACGTTGTACTATTTACACTTCGCGTAAAAAAAAAGAAAAAACCGCGAATCGTAAAGATGATCGGTCGAATGGCGAGGATACGCGTATTAACATTGCTATTCTCGTGTTTGTTAATTATCGTGTCACTGGACGCGATTACACGATTCGACGAGCAGCTGAATTTTCGAAGGATCGACGAAACAGCAGCGTCGTCGTTGCTCGATTTCAAAGATAAGAGAAGCACGACGAGTCAGCGTGGTTTAAATGCCAGTTTAAGGAACGTCGAGAAAACTTTCAAGAAGAAAGCAGCTACGTTGTCGCGATTGTTGAAAATTCACATCGATTATCTGAGGAACGATACCGACCGGGTAAAATTTTCATCCAGGTTTTTGCAAATCTACGTGTATACGTTCAGAGATGAGATTTTTTCTATCGAAACGAAATTTCAGGTGGAACTGGTGTTTCTCGTTGACGCTTCGGGATCGGTGGGCTTGAAAAATTTCCAAAGCGAACTGAATTTCGTGAAGAACCTACTCTCCGATTTCTCTGTGGAACCCTCTGCAACCAGAGTCGCGATTGTAACGTTCGGTGGTAAAAGAAACATTAGACGGAATGTCGATCAGATATCTCGCGTTGGTGAGAACGACAACAAGTGTTATTTGCTGAACAGGCAGTTGAACAATATTAATTACACTGGTGGAGGAACGTACACTCGAGGTGCCCTTCTCGAAGCTCTTGTAAGTCCACGAATCCATTTTTAGTTCTTCTGCTTGTACACGCTGCTTGAACAAATATTCACACTTATATGAAAGTTACTTTTTTTTTTTAAGAAAAAAAAAAAGAACTAATGACACGATATGTTATTATTAAAAAATATAGTTTGTCATCAAAGAGTCTCCTCCACTTGTTATCAACATATTCTTGGAATCTTTGTTTCTTTATCAAAGAAAAAAAAAATGAAGATGATGTATACATATACAAATTCTCCATATAAGTGTAAATTTTCACTGTACTCTGTATTATATATTTTATGCATTATTTCTTCTCGGGAGAAAATTTCTCTGATTATTTCGAGATTTCTCTTCTTTCAATTAACGTATAATAAATGTTATCTTTAATATATCACGCTGTATGTAGGATATTGTTGAAAAAAAATATATATATATTCGAAAATGAATTTTCGAAATTTAAAAAAAAAACAATTATCAGATGATACTCGAGAAGGGTCGATCAGACGCTAAGAAAGCAGTGTTCCTAATAACTGACGGATTCAGCAATGGCGGCGATCCACGGCCTGCAGCGAATCTATTGAAAGACGCGGGTGCAACGATATTCACGTTTGGAATAAGAACAGGAAACGTCGACGAGCTACACAACATAGCTACATTCCCTGGATACACGCACAGCTATTTTCTCGATAGTTTCGCGGAATTCGAGGCTTTCGTGCGACGAGCTTTGCACCGTGGTGAGTTTCGTTCGAAATATACGATATGTAGGAAAGAAATGGAAAGAAAAAAAATCATAATTGGAGTAATAGTTTAAATAATTCCAATTCTCCAATTTTTATCATTTTAATCGTAATAAAGAAAAGAAAATAAGATTAGCATTAGTCTGGTAAAAATATTCTCTTTTCGAAGATTGTATTGTTTCTTTTACGAAGACGAAACAGAGAAAGAGAGAGAGAGAGAGTGCATTATCTAATTATGAATCGCCTCCGTTTCCGTTGTTACAGATTTGAAAACGGGCAAATACATGCCAGTGACGTTTCCAGATAATTGCAATCTCTTATGCAGAAATATCAGCGAAGTCGGAAACGAGTGGAATTGCTGCGATAATTTCGCGACGTGCGCCTGCGGCACCGCAACTGGTCATTATGCTTGCATTTGTCCCACCGGGTATTTTGGCTCCGGTTTCAATGGCTCTTGTCATCGTGAGTTTGTATTTTAAAAAAAGAAAAAAAAGAGACGGGAGTTCTTCTTCCATATTCCGCGTGATAAACGAAAGAGTAGTAATAAAAATATAAATGAAAGGAAAAATTGAATACTCTAATTATACTGGGTGATCTGTTAGTCTCTCGCACCGAACATATCGATAATTAGAAAATTTCAATAATTAGACATACCTTCTACTTTAGGAAAAATATCGAAGCTGGTAGAGATACAAATAATTTTCACGTTCAAGGCGATCTCAAGATCGTAAAAGTATAACTTGTAGAATTTATCATAGAATGCTCCAAAAAAAAAAAAACTATAGAAGAAAAAAATGCAGATGTCCTTGAAATCGGAAGAAAAACCGCGAGAAAGAATAATTTCGAATCGAATACTACCGAAAATGCTTTCGTACTTGTGAATCGAATAACTCCATCAAAGACACTATTTTACCCTACTCTTAAATGCAACGAAGATATTCAAAGTGTAACAGAACATACGAAAAGATAATAGACGAAAGAAAAGAAGCAGGAATAAGAATGAATAAGAAACAAATTGATAGAAATTGATACAATTTTTTGCTGTAATTTCAAAGAAATTTTGAGAAAGAAAGGATGTGTCGCGAGAGTACCGTTTCCTTCCAATATATTCTACAGTTACACGATACTGTTCGATTACACAATTTACTTTCAGCTTGTCCAAATGGTACCTACGCATCTGGAGAAATTTCCGGTGATTTCACGTCCATGTGCATATCCTGTCCCGACGTGAATCACGTGACCATTAAAGTACCTGCAACTTCCGTGGAGCATTGCGTTTGCGCTTCCGGATTCACCACAGACCGGAATAAATGCGAGGGTAATTTTGACGTACTTCTTTATTTTTAATTTTAATCGTTTTCATTCATTTAATCGGCTACCAAATGTATCCTATACCACCGGCAAGAAGAGGCATATCTCCGGTTAAACGTTCCACACCTTTCAGAGGATCGGGATATTCCGGCCAGTAAGATCCATATTTTTCCAAACGAAATTTTGGCTTCGACGCGAGCCAGCCGTACTGTAAAATCGTGTAACATTGATGTATAGTAGGATTGAATTATTGCAGCGATTAGCAACTTAATGAAATATTAACTTATGATTCGAAGAAGTTATTTGAAACAGCTGAAACGAAAGATTCTCTTGTGCTAAACATCGACGTGTGAATTTTGGGAATTAATTTTCGAGAAGAATGGTCTCGGTATTAGGTAATAGACTAATCAGAAGCAAACTATGTGAAAATTGTATTTCTACAAAAATTTCATCTACGAGTTGAACGATGTTTAAATTGATAAATTAGGTGGTTCGAGGTTGTAATTTTGTAAATTAACAAAATTACAATTGTAAAGATTTTTTGGCAATTAAGATAATTCAAATGATTAGAACCTCTCCGCTCGTCGTAATCGGAGCTGGCAAACAAGTTTTTCCTTCTTCTCGAACGAATGCCTCTGTGGCAACGACAGTCTGTTGCTCCTTGCATAGATCCTGCATTTCTTTCTGTAATTTACTTAACGTAACAGGGTTACCGATAAGTATTCGCCAATTATAGGAAATTTATTTCACGTGTATACGTACACGTGTTCATTTAACAGCCACTCGTAATTTTGGAACCATTTCCTTCTCATCCGTCTAGCTTTGTACACGCCCTCGGCTAGATTCCTCGAGATGGCAACGAAATCGCGAGGCCTCTTGTCGAGTGGATCCATTATTTCGTTATTAGCTAGCTTTTTTCTCGATCTAAATTCACTTTCAACTAATCTGAACCCTGATGCAAATTTCGATTTATTCAGAATGAAGTTAGAAATCGTATACAATCAGCTATAGTAAAATAAAAACAGTAAAGAACGAATGAGTTTAGTCGACATTGAAAAAAAAGGTATCGATCGTCGTTTTTAAAAAGCACTTCTGATGATATATGAAAATTAGTATACTCAGCACTCAATCGACAACAAATTGCAATGATAAAAATTGCCAAAACAAACCACTGTCGTTCTTTGTTTTTTGCCAAAACTTTAAAAAGTGTTAAATTAGAATAGACTGAATAAAAAATCGAATAAAATTGAATTTATCCCTTATGTTACTATCGATATTTTCATAGAAAATATTTGCATTACAAGAGCAAGTATTTTGTGAAATTACTACACAATTGAGAAATATTTTTTAGTATATCGAAATATAATAGTCTATACATCTCGAAATTATTTCAGTTATAACTTGTCCAAGATTAAGGGTGCCGGACAATGGATATTTGGTAAAAGCTAGCGCGTGCAGCAACGTTGTGCACGCAGCGTGTGGCATACGATGCAGGATCGGTTTCTATCTGACTGGCGACAGTATTCGTCTCTGTGGAAAAGACGGTAATTGGTCCGGGAACGAACCGAGATGTTTATGTGAGTAACCCTGTACATTGTTTCCCCGAAACTGCAATTCGTACAATTAACAATATTGTAAATGAACATATTTGAAGTTTTTATTTATGAAAATACGCTGAAATATGCTACCCATGTGCTACCCCTCACGATTAAACAGTGAAGACATGCCCTCCGCTTCGAGCACCTGCCCACGGTCGAATGCGCTGTCAAAACGAGGAGGATGAGTATTTGATTACAGAAAATTCGACAGCGTATCCAATCGACGCACGATGTCAGTTCAAATGTGAAACTGGATATCAACTTCGTGGAAGTAAATTTCGCAACTGTTTGCCGCTGTCGCAATGGGACGGTCTTAAAGCTACGTGTAAAGGTGAACTTCGAATTTATGGCTTTACGCGTAATCACGATAAAATAGAAACTTCTGTTTTGCAAGATACGGTAAATTTTTCTAGGAAGATCGATATGGTCTTAAAATTCATTTGGCACTTGAGGATTGACTTAATCCAGTGGTCAATTTAATTCAGACGTTGACTTGGACTTAAGGTCACTTTCAGCGAGATACGTAATTCATGTGTGATTGCTATGACTGCACGCAGTTTGCTTTCAAAGCGCCTGCACAGTGCTTCTCTTTCCTTTTTTTCAAAAGAAAAGTAGGAATATTATTCTTAGAGGATCTTGCACAGAGAATGGGATAAAATGCCTTCTTCGATCCTAGGGTTCCCTAGATTTTTGAATTTCCTAGATCTGGGGTCCAAGTGGAGGATCAAGTGAACCCCTGAATTTAGTCGGCCATTTCAACCGTAGAATCTCTTTGACCCAATATTCAGACAATTTTATGTTACGAAATGTTCCGAATTTCTGATGTTCCGTTCACTTTTTCGAATAGCAATGAAATATGAACGTATCAAGTTGGTTACTTCGAATTCATTTATTTATTCTTCTACGTTCACAGCAATCAGATGTGAACCTTTGAAGAAAGTTTCTCACGGTGAAGTTTCCCCTGAAATTTGCTCTGGTCCTGAAAAAGTGCCATTCGCAACAAACTGTACAATAAGATGCAGGAACGGTTTTGTACTTGAGGGACCGCGTACCAAATTTTGTGGCGGTCGTTCTGGAGTCTGGTCACAACGTCGAACTATCAATCGGTGTATAGGTATCGTAACATACTACTTTCTGTGTTTATTTGAACAATAGCTAAGCTAGTATTATTTTTTTTTTGCTTCAGACGAAACACCACCTTTAGTCACGTGTCCATCGGACATTATTACGGAAAATTTACCGGGGAAGAATTATGCGTACGTTAATTGGACGACACCAGTGGCGAGTGACAATGCAGATGAATTGCCCACGTTATGGAGCAAACCGTACGTTAATTTTCCATGGAGGGTGAAAATTGGTACACGTACAGTAGTGTACGTGGCGCAAGATTCGTCTGGGAATAAAGCTAGATGTAAATTTAAAGTGAAAGTCCTTGGTAAGCTCAATTTTTTTTTTATTCTTTTTCTCGTGCTCTAAAATTGATCATCCTGTACCAGACTATTTTGGTTGTAAGACGAATATCCTTCAGACACAGAATCACCAATGATCGAGAATTGCATAAATCCTCCGACACTCTTCACCGACAACGGACTTGGATTAAGCAACGTAAGTTGGAGCGAACCTGGCTTTTACGACAATTCTAAGACACCTGTACGAGTGGAGCAAACTCATCGGCCAGGGGAAAACATATTTCCTATTGGATTAACGAAAGTGGTTTACAATGCAATCGACAAGTACGACAATAAGGCGACTTGCGTGCTAAATGTCACTATAAAAGGTGCTACATTTCACTTTAAACGGTCATTCCTGTGTGACACTTTCAAAAATTCGATCCTTTTTTCGTAATTTTTTCAAAATTACACGTATATTCAAGAATGTACCGTGAAATTTTTGCAAAGAAATTGCAAGTATTATATCTGTTTTCAGATGTCTGCGAAGAAGTGACAAACGTACTGCACGGTTACTCAAAGTGTTCCTCGACGTTGGAAAACGGGACGAACGAGTGCACTGTCGCTTGTGAGGAGGGATTTGGATTCGCTGTCGAAGAAGAGCCAAATGTTCATATCGTGGAAGATATATTGCTGCTGAAATGCAATGGAAATTCTTCAAATTGGACCGAGGACAATTACATACCAGATTGTTCGGGTATACCGACCTTAACGATTCTATAATGCATACTCTAAAGTTTACACAAGTTTCTAAATTCAACAACATTAAGAATTCTTTCAACCAACTTTTTCCTACTCAAAAAAAAAAAATAAATTTGTTACTCAAATTTATGAAAAATTGATTACAAATTCAACATCAAGTGGTCTTAATCTCTTTTTACTGCTAACTCGTGCATATGTCTTTAATCGAAAGTATTTATTACACTTTATTTTACTATACAGAATCGACATTTCCAAAAAGCGTGTCCCAAGAAGGAAGCATCGTATTAGAGGGAAATGGAACGGACGTGTGTGATAATGAAACCACTCTTCGTGAAGTAAGTATCGATCCTTCGTTCACCTGATAACGTAGATTGCAAATATCACTTTTAGAATATAATATCACCCTTTTGTTCTTATTATTTAAATTAGCTAAGCGAATATATCACTGCCGATTTAAGAACGACACTGCTCGACATTTGTGGAAACGATATCGAGTGCAATTTAATTACGTTCGATCCCGAATGCGAGCAAAGCCCTCTGCAATTGGGCACGGTGTATTCTAACTCGTTAAGAAAGCGGAGAGAACTTCGTTCTGGCGATACCTCTGCCATCGAGTTATTCGTGAACGATCAAGTGAGATGTGCCAGGTTGAAACGACACGCGAAAGTGAACGATCAGAGTGTGGATAAAACTAAAGTGAAGATGAAAAAGAAGAAGGAGAAAATTGGGATCAAATTCAAATTTTTAGGTAAGAGAATTAATAAAAAATTTCTAGAATTGATAATTTTGTTTGAAATTGATAATTAAATTGCTAAGAGATTTTCTTAAAATTTCTATTTGCTTGATAAAAAGGAAAAATTGTTCGAATTTGATTTAATTCAGCGAAAATAATCGAGGAGAACATCGAGAATCCTCGAGAAGGTATACAAAAATTGAGACAGAAGATCGAATCGTTGTCTCAGTCTGGAAAGTTGAATTTGTTGAACAACAAGACGAACCAACTGATCGCTCAACTCGCGTTGAATTTGCACCTCGTCTTTAAGAATTTCCAAGAGCTTTGTGATCCGGGAAGTGTTCTGAAGAAACATACCTGCGGTGAATATAATTAGACTCAATGTTTGTCTATTGTAATATCATGGAAACTCTGTTAGTTGGTTTTCTTTTTCAATTTTAGTAAAATGTCCATTGGGCACTTTTTTCAATTCCTCGATTAAACGATGCCAGCCTTGCCCCATTGGAGAGTACGAGGACACAACTGGATCTTTAAAGTGCAAACGTTGCCCCGAACATACTTCCACGAGAAAAGTTCATTCGAAATTTTCAAGGGATTGTATACGTGAGTGTTTTATGAACAAATGAATTTTTTTGTATTCCTCTTTCATTTCTTTTTATTTCATCTATTTCTTTCAACTCACCTTATTTCGTTCCCCTTTGCTGAAGAAAACAGAAATTCAGAATTTCTGAAAATAAGAAAATTCTTTGTTCGTGAAAATATATTTTACGTTTCTTTAGATTTGTGCAAGCCGGGATATTATTCGCAGAAGAAACGTCATCAGAGTACACGTTTCGCTCTCGAACCTTGCCTAACATGCGACATTGGATTTTATCAGCCGGAATTTGGACAAACTCAGTGTTTCTCGTGTCCAGCTAATTCTACTACCAGTAACCGTGGTACCAAAGGTGTAAACGATTGTCTACTTCTTAACAATATCGAGAGAAATATGTGCAACGCAAAATCATGCTTGAACGATGGACAATGTGTAGAAGAAGAAGATAGCTTTAGCTGCGAATGCCTTGACTATTATGTCGGTAAGAATTTCATTTAGTGCTTTACTAATGGTAGGTAAGGGTATTTTAGCAAAAAATTACGATTATACATAAAATAAAAAATTCGTGCCAGGCTCTAAATGCGAGTCGTTTCAAAATCCATGCGATTCTTCGCCCTGTTTGAACGAAGGCACATGCAACATGCAAAGTTTTGCAAACAGTACAATTTCTTACGTTTGTACATGCAAAAATGGATATTCAGGAAGCAACTGTGAGGTAAAATAGTTGTAATTTATTGATATAATTTTATTTATCGAATTTATTGCAATTTTTTAGAAAGTAACGAATATAAGGAAAAATAAATTAGTCAGTAATATGAATAATATTTTTTAGGTATATATCGATGAATGTACCATTAATCCCTGCCAGAACAATGGTACTTGTGTAAGTACAGAGAGTGATTATACCTGCGAATGCAAAGACGGTTTCGAAGGTATATTTATAAATTATTTCAATGAATTTTTCCATGAAACGATTAATTGTTGAAAATCTAGATTTTTACGAATAAATGTATCGTTTAGGGGAATTTTGCGAGAGTACCATTAATCATTGCGAGCCTTCGCCTTGCATGGAGGGATCCACTTGTCGCAATATCAACGAAACCTGGCAATGTTTCTGTAAACCGGGTTTTCTCGGTCGGTATTGCAATTTATTACCTTGTGATTGGCTACCGTGCAGTGGAAATTCATACTGCATAAATATCGAAGAGGAAAATGCGACAATAATGAGTTACAAGTAATTAATAAATAAGTGTAGTTTCACAACAGATGATATATATTATTAATAAAAGTTAATGCATTATTTAATTATCAGATGTGAATGCATAGATGGTTATACTGGAGCAAATTGCACGATAAAAGTAGATTATTGTGAGAGCCAGCCGTGTCTGAACAAAGGAAAATGTCTCAATAGCGTTTCTAATTACACGTGCACGTGTCCTGTTCCATTCACAGGACGCGATTGCGAGACTGGAAAGTATAGTCTTGAGAAGAACTATTTCTTTTTTGAATCATCGATCATTTTAACAATGAGTTGTAGACTTTCATAATTTTTTTTTTTTTACTCATTCTTCATTACTTTACAGAATTATCATCTGATTATGTGATACACTTTAGTAAATCAGGAACTACGGATTATGTTAGTATGAAAGGTGCTATAGACAATCTGTCACAGGTACTAAAGAACATTAGACAATATAACAGTTAAAAATAAGTAATTTTTCTCCTTTTCATTTTATAGAAGTACTTAATTTTAGTTGACAGCATGCTTGTGGCTGCAGTCGAAGGACACGTTCAATTATGGCACTGTGTTATCATACGCGACGCGTTACTACGATAACGCGTTCACTTTAACCGACTACAATGGGTAATAAGAAAATCCTCTCCATAGAATAAAATTATCTTTGCCTGTATACCTAACATTATTTTCTCGATCCCTTTAATAGACTCGTAATATACGTAAATGGCCATAAAGTAGTAACTGATATTAAAGTAAACGATGGTCATTGGCATTTCATCTGTTTTACCTGGGAAGCGGAAAATGGTTTTTGGAATATATTTATCGACGGAATCTTAAGAGACAATGGCACTCAGTTGGCAAAAAGAAGTACTATTCAAGGTACCAAATATTTTACATACGTAAATTAAATTAAAAAAAAAAAAGAACTTTACTTATAAAAAATAATATAAAAAAATTTTTTCTGCGATAAGGCAATGGAACTCTCGTAATTGGACAAGAACAGGATCGAATGGGTGGAGGATTTTCAGAATCCGAGTCCTTTTTGGGTAAATTAACTTTATTAGACATTTGGAGCACAGTTTTAGCGGGGACAGATGTGAACCACTTGTTCAGCACATGCGAAAAATACCATGGGGACGTAATCGCGTGGTCACAGGTGCAGGAGCACGTACACGGTGACACAGTGGTAATTATAGTGTTCCAGTAAATGCACCGAGTTTTCATTATGACGATGAATTTCACGTTCTTAGATATTAAGCAGCCCGTTTTGCCATGGCTGCCCCTTACCTGTTGTACCCTTTAAAGGTAACATAAATGTTAGCGAAGATGCGTCAAAGATCACTTATTACTGCGAGAATGGTTATGTGGTGCGATACCACAATAAAGAATACCGATCTTTGAAAGTAAAATGTCTTAAACAAGGACAATGGGAAGGATATTATACGCCCGTTTGCACCAGTAAGACGAAATACTTTGTAATATAATGGTCAATCATTTTTTCTAACATAATTAAAAAATGGACGTAAAAATAATTTGAGGAAGAAGATGTGGCTTCCCGGGATATTTTCCACGAGGTCGTGTACAGGGTAGATCGTACTTATTCGGGGATAAAATACACTATTCTTGTCTGCCTGGCTACGAGCTTCGAGGAAATCCCCGTAGAGTTTGTAACGCTGATGGAAAATGGAGCGGATTACCACCAATTTGTATAGGTAAAATTTAATCTCACCTATAAAATAAAATTTAGTTATTGTTGCACCATTTTCCATAATAGGAAAGACATGCAAGAATTTACTGGCCCCAGAGCACGGAGATATCGAATACGTGATAGAAGAATACGAAAGGGATGATCTTTCCATTCTACAGGTGTGATTAATTTGTCACTATTGTGAAAAAAAGAATTTTTACTAATTATCGTTTCAGGTAGGTCAACAAATTGAATTCATGTGCGAACTTGGATTTCGTTTAATAGGAGAAAAGTATCTAACATGCATGGAAACAGGGTTATGGGATCATGAAAGACCCACATGTGTGGCATATGGATGCCCACCGCCAAAACAGTGAGTTGCATTATTATTAACAATAATAATTTCGCGATAAATATTTGTTTAATATCTATGCAGGATTGAACATGGTTATATAATTTCTGCAAGTTCGAATAATTTGCATGAAACTTCCGACACGAATTTCAGCGTAGAAACGTCCAATGACACATCTGAGAAAAGTTACGATTTTAATAACGTCGTTGGATATTCTTGTTACTCGGGATATAAGTTTCGGGGTAATAATTTCTTGAAGGAATTCAAGCTTCAGTGTACCGAAAATGGTACCTGGATTGGATTTGTTCCTGATTGTATACCTCTTAAATGTTCATGGCCTACCTTCGTGAATAATGGCATGTTACTGTTTAAAACGCAAGACAATGATACTATTGAGCTTTTTGAAAGAAAATCATCATCTAATGACACAAATATAGGAAGCACATCAGAAGAAAGTGATTATGATTTCAAAGAAAATCAAGATCTTGAGAACCAATTTGTTGCTGGCTCACATATTTCAATAAAATGTAATGTAGGATATAAATTAGTAGGTGATGGTGTCAGAATTTGTACAGATAATGAAGAATGGTCATCTCCATTATCCTCTTGTGAGCCTCAAGAATGTTTCATCTTAAATCACCCATTTTTTCAAATTCTTAATAAAAAACCAAGTTTGGATAATCATACCACTATTTGGGGAAATAATCAGAATAAAGAATTGGATGGTAAAGAACAGTATAATGGCTTTTATAAGAATTTAGAATACTTTGTAGAAGGTCATACTTATAAGAAGAAGATAGTACTTAGCTGTAAAAACAGTGATGAGATTAAACTGAACAATGAAAACATTCATAAATCTGTTTCTAATTTAACATGGTTCTGTAATAAGCATAGTCAGTGGGAAATTATTGACATACAATTAAATAACACCATAATGGCAGCCTTATTTAATAATGAAATAGATAATATTTGTCAAAAATCAATGTGTGCTGAAATCACAGTAAGTAATATGTGGTTATTAAAGAACAAATAAAGATTTTAATGAGAGGGATTAAAAACAAATTATCATTAGGTTCCAGAGCAAAGTTATATTGTTGAGAAGAATTATTCAAGATCTATTAATAGTACTATTATGTTCAAGTGTAACCAAGGCTATATTCTTAAAGGCAATGAAAAGTCTGTTTGTCTTCCAAACAACACTTGGTCTGCAATTCCTTCTTGTAAACGTAAGCTTGAGAATAAAGTAGTCATTTTAAATCATATGTATAAAATAATATACTATTGAAAAGTTGACATGTAATTTTTATTTTAGCTGTAACATGTGGAAAACCACCTAAACTTGCAAATGCAGTGATAAAAGAAGACAGTGTTGAAACAGTAATCTTTACATTTGGCAATACAATTACTTATGAATGTATACCTGGATATGTAATGTTTGGTCAATCAAATGTAAAATGTCTTGCAAATGGGAAATGGTCTAGAACATACAGTAGATGTTCAAGTAAGTATAATGCTATATAATACACAATGCTGTATCATTCTTTTTTTATTACTTAATATTTATAGGACTTTCATGCAATAAACCAAAACTTCCACCGGGAGCTACTATTCGTGGTCGCTCCTACTTGTATCAAGATCAATTGATGTACATATGCCCCGGTGGTAAAAAGCAAGGACTAATTACATGTAAAGCAGATGGACATTGGAGCGATTCACCGAAATGTAACGGCTATTAATAAAAAGAAGTTATTAATGCAACTACACTGACACATATGAATTTAAAATAAAACATAGCAAATTTATTAGATAGTTTTTTTTATTAAATGCCACAATTATTAAATCTTTGAGATTTTATAATACTTTTCCGTTTTACATCTCATAAGTATGTTTCCACAAAATAATATTACTGTTTAAGTGACAATGTTCTACCAATAATAAATTTTAATGTTATACATAAGATATTCTGTGCACTTATAAATATCATTTTAGAATAAAGGAAAGCTAGCTCTGACAAATTGTAACACATTAATGAACCTTTAATACTGAACATTTTATAGATTTCTACTATTACTATCTAAAACAAACTTTCTTTTTTGTGCATAAAGATAACGTATTATCTTATCAATATTATAAAATATTGTTAAAGAATATACTACAAAAATTAATTGTAAATGCTCAGTGTAACAAAAAAAGAATGAATAAATATATATAACAACACATTGCTGATAATTCATCACAAATACATATCTGTCCATATAGTACACAGCATTTTGGTATAAATAGGATCCATACATGTATAAACGCACTGTATCAGAATAGTTGAGGAAGAGCAATGAAAGATAAAAACATGAAAATAATTTGTTGTATGAAAAATTTGAGTTATTTATATTTATCTAACATTGGTATGATAAAAACGGAGCACCTTTCATGATATTTAATTTGCATTAGCATGGCTACACTAGAAGGAATCCTCCTTTCTTTACAAATTTTCACTGCTCAATATTCCTAATTTCTTAAAACCATGTCTAAGATATTGCTTCGTTAATATAATTTAAGAGTATAACTTAATCTTAACCACTGAAATTTAAATGCATATTGCTTTTAAAAATTCCATGAAATGAATTTTACAAAATGATTTTTATACATATACACAAACTGAAAAAACATATAAATACTGTTAACCATTTTGTAAAAAGGAATATCCAAAAGCTGAGCCATACTAACATAATAATATATCTACATCATTGAATACCTTTCAAAGTTCTGATTTTGCACTGCTAGAATATTTAGGTTTCAGTTCTTCAATTCGCTTAATAAAATCTGTTTTTTCTATGCAACCATCACATGTTTGATCCCAGTCACTCAATATTTTTCTCAAATCACGTACCTTAAGTTTCTTGAGATCAACAGTATTAATATCAATTTGCTTCTCTAGAATTAAACAATATTATAAATTAAACTAAAAGTAACTGATATATTTTTTAACACAGGGTTAATCAAAAGTGAGCTTACCATATCTTAAATCACATATCTGAGCATCTTTCTTCTTTAATTTTTCACATACTTTATTTGCAGGCATAGACCAAGATAGAGGTTTACTTAATTCACTTAAAATACCTGTTGCAGATTGTTCCAAACCACCTAAGTAATAGCACTACAAAAGGAGATTATTTAAAATATAAACAATACACTATGTTTATTATAGTAATATTAACATTCACCATAAATACTTACAAATCTGTTTTCTTTAGATTTTGTATCTTTACAAAATTCTTTAAATGCTGCTTCTATTTTCCTAGTATCTTTTTTTATATCTTCAGTTAAAGTATTAGCAAATTTTTCCACAGTGGATACACATACTGAAATGTTACCAAATTAAAAGAATTTATAAATTTGAATAAAAACTATGAAAAACACTAAAAAACAAAATTGAAAATGCTCACTTACCTTCACATTCATCATTTTTTAAAGCTGTGACAGTATATATTAATCCAATAATAATAGACAGTATCAATAGTACTGAATTGTTCATTTTGTATATATTTTCTATAAAAGGAGAATAAATTTTGTTAGTATATCATATAATATTGTACAAAACATTAACAATATAATTTCACATTACATA